CGGCTAATTTTTGTATTTTTAGTAGAGACTGGATTTCATCATATTGGCCAGACTGATCTCGAACTCCTGACTTCAAGCGATCCGTCTGCCTCCGTCTCCCAAAGTACTGAGATTACAGGTGTGAGCCACCGTGCCCGGCCTGGTTCTTCGATTTTTTAACATCCACCACTGTAACTTAAAGTATATAAAGTAACTACACCTGAGGAGCCCGGGGGTCCAGGCCCGCGGCCCTCCAGCGCCTTTGGCGTTCTGTCGCAGTGCACTAGGCGTGAAACCGCTTTCCTCCCACCCTGGCCGTGAGCTGGTGATGGTGGCAGCGGAGCTCCAGCGACCCCCGCGGCCCAGGCTCGCGAGGGAAGTGTCCCCAGGGTCGGGCAAGGTCGCTCCCGCCGGTCGGGAGGCGCTTTCTAAGCCTGACTGGGGCTAACCGAAGGAAAAGCCCGCCGCTCCCGGCTTTATTAAAAATTCGCTTACTTTCCAAGGCCGCCAACGGTGGGAAAGGTGTGCTCGTAGCATCCCTCTTGCTCGGTTCCATCCCTGGCATTCTGTCTCCTGGAAGGGTCGCCGCGCTCCACCCCACCCGCTTCGCCACGGGTTCGAGTCCTGGCGTCCGGGCGTCCGGGAGCCCGCTGTCCAGCACCGAAGGCAAGGTCGGTCCAAGCGGACCTGAGGATTCAGTGGATGTCCCCCAAGCCCCGCGGCCGCTCTAAGGCGGTAGAAGCGAGATTCCCCGGAAACCCAGGGAACCTGATGCTCGCACAGGACCAAAGCCCGAGGCCGCGGGGACCACGGAGGGACGGAGAAGCCGGGACTCCTCACATCCCACATCCGGCAGGGGAAGCCCAGCGGGTGAGCGCGGGTCCCCTCAGTCCCCGAGGAAGTGCGCCCGACGGAAACGCCCCTCGCCCGCGGACCTCGCTTTCCTCTCCCGCGTTCTTGGGTCACTTCCCGCTGTCTCCAGCCCGAGCCCGTGGCCCCAATCTCTGGTACCTCCTTACTCTGGTCACCCTTTCCCTGGTGCCCCCTCCCCGGCTTTTCTTTGTCCCGTCCCCACCCTTGCCCGGGCCTGCCGGACTCCCCTCTTTGACACCCGGCGCCACCTCCTCGAGCTTTTCTCGTCCCCTCCCCATTCCCGGCCCCCTGATCCCCTCCCGGAACTTCTCTGGACCTCTCCGCTCCTCCGCCCCGGGCTTTCCCTCCGCGCTCTGCGGCCCCCTCAGCACCCTTCCCGGAGCTCCTCGGGTCCTGCCCCCTCCCGGTGGTTGCCCGCGCCGCCCCGCCCCCGTTTTTAAACCTGGCGCGCGGGTAGGTGAGCGCGCTAGCCCG